GAGAATTTTGTAAAGCATAACTACATCATTTATTTTCCTTCTTCTTTCAAGCGACTGCAGACCTTGCAAACCGAGGGTGTCCAGAAAGTTTTGAGAAAATTTATTTGGTTTATTCAACATAAAAATACTACAACAAACCCCAAAAACTAGGTAGGCCCACCTCCTCGGCTTCACTTCCGGATACCCTCCGGCTCAAACAACAGTGCATCTCGTTGACACCCGATCAGCGAAGCTCACTGGAACTTATAATGGCGCATTACCTAATCGCAAAAATACAATCCGCTTTCGGTACCGGCAGAACTATCCTAGGTTCCATTATCGCAGACTCTTCGCCCAGCAGAAAAGAGGGTCAATGATAGTCACGGCGACAACCAACAACGCTGTGGCTCAATTCAAACGACGCTTAACAACGAACACGATGCTAGCNATGCTTCGGCTACTTATCGACGGAGCATGCACAGTTTCTAGAGAAACTTCAGCTCTGGCTTTTTTAGCAATTTTTTAGAGGCAGCAACAGTGTTTCCTGTTGTTTTAAAGCGCAAGCTTCCGAGCCAGAAAAGATACAGGCCAGCTGTAGACGGGGATGAGATTGCGAACATCTCGTCCCTATCTCAGCACCAGTCTCAATCTTTTTTCATTCGTGAGTAAAGCGCGAGTGCTTAAAATTCGTATCCCTGAAGTAATCTTTGGTTTGGATTGATTTATTACATGAGCAAAGCATCATGCGGAACTAGGCAAGACAAAGGAAATCCTGGGAAAGAGAGTCTAACTGTTGGTCCGGAACCCCGGTTCACTTGAAACGAATAGTAACGAACTGTGAAACTGTGAAAAGCAACTAGAGATACAAATCAAGCAAGAAAAAAGCGAATGTAAAAGGAAAATAAGCGTAAGAAATATAACGAGAAGAATGACGAATACAACAAACTGTTTAGAATGGAAGTTGGGTCGGTAGTTTGCGAAATTGGGTGACCTTTTTCGTCATGCTTCCCCGCTTGATAATGTTATTAAAAGCTGAACCTGCACGATGACAAAAGAAAAGAGTTCTGATGCTCGTGCTAGATCTAGCATTATATATCCTGGCCCT